CCCGCGTCCCCTGCATCGGCAGGCGGACTCTCAACCACTGCGCCACCAGGGAAGCCCCAACCATTTCTTTTTAAGATGTCAATATTTGCCTTGGAAATTACATCCTTTACAACAATTTATACTTATGATGAAAAAGTTCAGATTTCAAAAATAAAAAACGTTCAATGATGCATAATTTTAAAAATGATTTTAGGGGCTATGCAAACAAAAGTGTTTGAAGACCACAACTTTGTACTCTAATTCAACCTTCACAATAACTTTGTCATCATACCTATTTTACAGTGGAGGACACTGAGTCAGAGAGGTTAACGGCCTTGCCCAAGGTCACACAGCTAATATTATGGGCTGAGCCGCACCCCTCCCAAATTCATATGTTGAAGCCCTAAAGGCCAATACCTCAAAATATGACTGCATTTGGAGATAGGGCCTTTAAAGGAGTGAGTAAGTTAAAATGAGGTCATTAGGGTGGTCTGGTGTCCTTATAAGAAGAGATTAGGGTTACAGACATGCACAGAGGGAAAACCACGTGAAGACACAGGGAGACAACGGCCACCTATAAGCTTTGCTATGGCAGCCCGAGCAAACTAACACACCTGCGAAGGGACAAAACTGGGCAGCCTGACTCCGGAGCCCTCTTGTAACTACTCCACACCATTCTCAGAGGAACTGGGCGGCTGGTATTAGGGCTCCTACAGACGAAAAAAGTAGAGTCCAGGATAAACGGCTGGTCCCCTGTCCCAGGGCTGGAGCAGGGCAGAGCCGGGACTGGGCCCTAGAGAATTCCGTGCTCTGACCTGTTTGGGAAAGTCCGGTCCAGGGGCAGTAAGGCGGGCAGCCTGCAGATCAGGAAGCCAGGGAGCAGGAGAGCAGCTGGGGGGCTCCTTAGTAATTGGCCATGGGGGCGGGGGACTAACTCAGAAGGGCCAGGAGCCTGGCAAGGAGAGTCGGTGCCAGGCACAGGCCAGCACTTGCCAACTGAGGCTTATGAGGTCTCAGCCCAGCGAATGCAGGGCTGATGTCCCTTTAATTAAGAGGGACAGCCCAGGGGCCAAAAGTGATCCTGGGCACCAAGGGGAAGAATTATGGGCATCTGAGAAATAGACCTTGCCTGGAATCTTCTTAAATCATCTTAAATATGCATAGCATTATCACTGCTGATTACATAACTGTGCGACCTGTCTTAGCTAGGGCTTCCCAGAAGCAGAGCCTGTAAGACAGGGATCCAAGTGCAGAGTCTATGTGGGAGGTGATCCTAAGAAACCCACTGGAGAATGGGGAAGTGAGATCAGGAAGAGAAGAAAAGCAATGAAGGGTGATTCTGGAGCCAGTCTCCACCACAGGCCACAGCCTGGCACCCAGGGCACTTGACCCAAAGGCTCCCGGCTCCACGCAAGGCAACCAACCTGCAGAGAAATGAAAACTCGAGACAGGGTGTTTTTTAAGTGGTGACTTGCGATCTTCAGGACTTTGAGGACTCTAAGAGAAAGGGCTGTTTTTCTCACCTCTTCTGATAGGAAGACATCTGTGAGCACGAGGTCCTGAGCCACCATTCCTCTGCCTTGTAGCCTGGGGCCACGCTGCACCCAGAGGCCACCGCATGGCCAAACCTCCCAGATGACATGTCCAGGCTGGAGGCCACCACTGCCACCTGGGACTGTCCCTGTCACCACTACCTACCCCACTATGGTTAATCTGGGGTGGAGGCAGCCATGCCCCCCATCCCATCACGCTCTGTAGCAGTGTTAGGGCCTCTGAGGTACGGCTGACATTCCCCCTCATTGCCCCCCAACTTGCCTGCACCTTCTTCAGAACCCCAGGCCTTGCAGAGACTCTGAGATGGGTCCTGCGGATATTCCTGCTCCATTCACAGAGCATTCTGCACGCACGGTGAGCACGGTGGCATCCCCTGCACAGGGCCTGGTGCATTTGCACGGTGCTCTCCCAGCATCCTCCCGCCCCAGCACAGGCAGGCGCCCTGCATCCTGGAAAAGCACCATCTGCGTCTCTCTGGAGGGAGGGTCAGGACTGGGATGCCCTCTTCTTACCCCAGCCGTTTCCTCTGCGCAGCAGAGGCGCTCCCACCACGCCAAGCTCAAGGGCCAGCCCCTCCAGGAAGCAGCCCTGCCTTGACCACGTTTCCAGGCCGGCACGGTTACAAGGACAGGTAAAGCCGTCTCCCTCAGTCACCAGGTGGAAAGCGGAGGGGCAGAACCAAGTTTTCTACCTCCTGTGGTCTTGGTACAAAGAGCATTTTAGGGCCACAGCCGTTCAGTGAAAGCACCAGTGCATAAAGCTCTCTATCTAGAGTCATGCTGTCCTGTACGGAAGTCGTGAGCTGGGGTGGCTATCAAGTACGGGAAATGTAACTGGTCCAGAATATGATGTGCTGGAACTGTGAAATCTTAGGGGCTCAGGATGTTTATCTGGAGCCTGAGAAGACCTGCTGGATTTCAGCCTTCATATGAAAAAAGGAATGTAAAATATCTCTTTCAGAATCTTTATGATGATGCTTGTTGAAATGGTATTTCAGATATACTGGGTTTAATAGAATGGATTAAAATTAATGTCACCTGTTATCTTTTTACTTTTTAAATGTGACTACTAAAATAAAAAAATGTCCAACTACATGCACAGCCCACCTTGCATTTCTACTCGGGACAGTGCACAGGGGGGTTGTATCTGCCCTAGTCGTCGGGAGGGCTGAGCCACCGTCACCATGACTACAGTGGAGGTATGCCACCCGGAGAGGTGGACCACACACAGAAGAAGGTGGCCCCTGGAGCTGCCCAGGCCCAGGACTGGCAGAGTAACTTTTATCCCCATTTCACAGTGAGGACACCTGGGGCTCAGGACATTTATTTGGGGCCTGAGAAGACCTGCTTTACAAGTAAAGGAGCTTGAATCCAGGCCCTGGGTTCAGCGCTCTATTCACGAAGCTACTGGGGAGGTTTCCGAGCACCCACTCGGGGAGACGGGCTCCCTTCTGATGGGGCAGTGGGCCCACGAGAGCTCACCGAGCCTTCCCACACACTCTGATGACCAGGCCTGTGTCGCAGAAGTGTTTGGAGGGGAGAGCTCATGCTGGGGTGTCCCAGTGTCCGAGCGTCTCTGATGCCAGGCTGGTGAGCCCTTCATCCTCCCCAAGGTCCCAGGGACACCTTGTCCACAGCCACCCCATTCCGTACCTGGCAGCCTCCTCCTTCCACTAAGTGGGGCTGTGAGTGGGAGGCAGCGCCCCAGCTCCCTCTTTCTTGTACTTCTGGGAGAAAAGATCACAGGCCCTTTGATCCCATCACCACAGGGAAGCAAGCAGAGAGCCAGTTTGTGGCAGGCAGATGTAGGTGCCTAGCAAGCCGTGGGGAGCCTGGCTTTGGAGCCAGGGTTTTAGCACATCGAGTGCAAGCTGAACGCAGTCATGACAAACATGAGAGCCGAGACAAAGGGGCTAGACCCCTCTCCCTCTGGTTGCGTGTGCCTTCAAAGCTGTCCTTTTAAAAGCTCAAACATGGAAGGTTGAGGGATTGTTGGGGCTACACCAAAGCAGCAGGTATGGACTCATTCTGGAAGAAGCAAAGGCCTTTGAAACCAGTGTGCTTGAAAACCCACTAGAGTAACGCCACCAGGATTGGTGCATTCCAGGGTGACTCAGAGCTGCAGAGGCCCTGGCATGAAGTTCCGGGCACCCCGGAGCTCACAAAGATTAGGGATGGAGACTCACAGCTCAGAGGAAAGTAGAAAGTAAGTCACACGTGGTGCAATTAACTCCAGCTCTATGAACAGTGAGTGCCCTAGGAGGACAGGGTGAGGGCAGGGCAGCAGGAAGGTGAGAGAGAAGGGGACTGGCCCTCAGGTCCCCTGGCTTCCAGGATGGGGTGTGTGTATCTCAGGGGCCCAGCGGGAGATCACATCAGGAGCAGAGACAGCTACTCTGACATCCTCTTTTCAGACAGATCTTGCTGAGCAAGCGGGAGAGCGGGTGCCAGGCTGTCCTCTGCTTCCCACGTGTGTGTGAGGAGCCTGCAAACCTGGGTGCTCTGTGGCTCCCACGCAGGCAGGAGGATGCAGAAGGACCAACAAACACACACTTGCATAGGAAACCCAGAAACTGTCTATATAACAAGGGGGTCTGGGCCTGATTTGATTTTTGTGCATCCAGGGAGCATAGTTTACCTATGAGTTTCATTTCAAGACAGTAATGGGATCATTTCACAATATTCGTGGTAAAGAGAAGCGCTGAGTAGAGGCTAGAGTAAAGAAGAACCGGTTCTAAGGCCTTTGCTACTCAGAGTGAGGCCTCCCATCATCAGGGTGGCACTGCCTGCACTTCTCATTAGATATGCACACTGTCAGGCCTGCCCTTACGCTCTGAATCAGAATCTGCATTGGAGCAGGTTCTCAGGTGAGCAGTCTGTTCCTGAAGTTTTGGGCAGTGCTGTTCTAAGCCTCTCAGGTCCAGGTGAGGGCTAACGCCAGGCCTAACATGCACAGTCCTGCCAGGGATACAGGATGCCAGCCTGCGGGCAGCAGTTGTACCAGACGGACGCCAAGCCCCCGAGGAGCTGCGGGAGCCGTGAACTGCTGTCTGGGGAGGACCTAAGCAACAACCACATTGAAGGCTGAAGGAAAATTCCTCGGCAACGTCAGCCCCCAGATGGCTGAGGTTTTCTTGAACAGAATCACGGAGGCTGAGGATCGGGCTGGGCTTGGGCTCTGCCACTCCCTTGTTTCAGGACTTGATCAAGCTCCCCAGCTGTGTCCTCTGTCAAATGGGAGCAATATGGGCTGTCATTCGGGCTGGTGGTGAGGATTCATGAGAATGTGGAGGGGCCAGCAAGGGGTCTGGCCCACAGCAGGTGCTCAGGCAAAGCTCTTGACAGCTCATAGGGCTTCGGACGCTGTGCACAGGCACACACGAGGCCATCTGGAGCCCACTCCCAGGGGCACGAGGGCAGCTAAGATCTGGGTTCTCAGTGGCTCTGTGGGAAGCCTGGAGCTTATGTCCCAGTCTGCCTTGTTGGCTTTGGGGAAGGACTTCTCCTGAACTGCCTACGTTGCTTTGCTTCCCTGCTCCTCCCCACGGCCTAACAGGGCCTGCACTCCAGGCAGATTTCTCTATCATGCCCCTGAGCCCAGGCAGAGGTGCCTTAGGAGAAAAACAGGCTTGGAGACTGCCAATGTGGCATGAAAACTCCAACAGCTGGGAACAAAGCAGCTGGGAAACAAAGCCATTTGCCCACCATTTGTTGAGCAGCTGTCATGAGCCGAATTCCAAGGAGAATGGGTCAGATGCGTGGTCCCTGTCTTACACACCATCCTCCTGGAGGGAGGCAAATATATTTGCACATGTGCAACATGTGCCACGAGCTCATCAAAGCCATCAGGTCTTTGGAACGGGAGAAAAGCTCGGGCACCGTGGATGCGGTATGCGCAGGCGTGGAGGGAGGAGGCTCTCAGAGTGCAGCACAGACACACAGAGCACGGTGCGCAGGGCACGGGCTGCGGAAGAAGGGCCTGGCTAGAGCTCTGGCTCTGCCTCCAGTGCTGCATGGCTCTGCGCACCCGTCCAGCTCCCCATCCCTTCTCTCCACCCTGCTCGGGCCCTGGAGGCTGACCTCTGTGCACGTCCTCTGGCTTCCGGTCTGGGTGGTAGGACCAAAGGAAAGCAGCCGTGGGACACCTGAGGGCAGGGGGCAGGGAGGGGCCGAGGAAGGTAGGCTCCTGGCTCCCTCCCTGCTGCGGTCCGGTTTGGCATTGCCTGAGTCCCTCTTCTAAGGCTCTTATTGGTGACAATTCTCCCACTGCTGCAGCTCTCAAAAGTTCCAGAAACCTCTTCTCCCCTTGTCCCCTAAGCTCTAGGGTGGAAACAGCATCCCCCCGGGTGCTGGTCCCTGAATGCCTTTCTCTCCCTCCCTCCCTCCCAGATTCCTTTAGCCCTGACTGCACCTCTGGGGAGAGTCCCCTCTGGCAACTCTGCCCAGTTTCCCTGTTTAGTTGTCCCCCTAAAAGCCATGACCACCAAATCTAATACCTCCCAGCTTTATGACCTTGGGCTAATAGTACTAATTATTATATATAACTATAACCACAGTCATCATAAATGCAGGACACTTACAAGGAGCTGGGATGGGTAAAGGGTTTTATTTGTGGGGGTTTTTTTTTTCAACTTAATCCGCACAACAGCCCTGTGAGACTCTGGTATGCTGGCATTTTCCCCATTATTTAGAGAGAGAAGGTGAGGCACGGCAGGTAAGTCATCAACTGGCAGGCGAAGAGTCGCCATGTGAACCAGAGTTATTCTAATTCCAGAGCCCAGCTCTTACCCAGATCATCTCTGGGAGCTGCAGGGTCCCCATCCGTTTCAGAAATTCTGAAGTCGAGGTGCACAGGGAGGGTATTTCAGAGGAAACAGGACCTGGAGGTTTGGTGAGAGGCGGGGACTAGAGAGAGAAAGCAGGCAGCATTCATAGGGAGATAAGAGTCAGAGTCATGAGAACTGTAATCACTAAGGAAGAAAGAGTAAAGCAAGAAGGGGCTAAGGACAGAAGCCAGGGGACAGGGACACCAACAAGAAAGGAGACAGAAGGAAGGGAACACTCAGACTGGACAGGAAGAGAAAGGAAGGGGTGCCTTTCCAGTCCCATCTGCCTGCCAGGCACAGTGTCAGGTACTGCAATTAAATTATGAACACACAACAACATTCAATCTAAGGAAGGTGGTGTCCATCCCATGTCATTTAATAAATGAGGAAACCAAAGTTCAGAGTGGTTAAGGAACGTGTCTAAAAACTCAGTCTTAAGCGGCAGAGCCAGAGTCAAACCCAGGGTCATCTGACTCCACAGCCTCTTCTGGGAGGAAGAGAGAGGCAAGGGCCCTCAGAAACCACCGAAGGAAGGGATTTGAGAAAAGGGGGTACTGAAATGATGTCAACAGTGGCCACAGTTGATTTTAGCAGAGTCTAAGGTAGACAGATCTCCTCACTCACACTGCTTACCAGTCACAGGTAAATAATCCCTGACTCAGGATGCATCTTTCAACCAAAGTGATACTTTGCCCAACATCTTCCGCCTGTCTGTGGTTTGGTTGTGCTCCCACTCCAGACATGACTTTTATCTGTTCTCTTACCTCTGGATTTCCTCTTGCTAAACACAGACTGCCAGATGATGGTCAGAGTGAAGAGCAGAACGCTGAGAATCCCCACACAGCACACGAGCACAGCATACACGTAGAGGTCTAAAAGGCAGGGACACACAGGTGATTGTCGGGACAGGCCACACCACAGGAGATGCTCCAAATAAAAAACCTTCACACATTATCAAAACTCAACTCAAAATGAACCACAAGCCTAAATGTAAAATAGAAAGAAGAAAACTTCTGGAAAAAACATAGAAGAAAAATCTTTGAGATCTAGGACTAAGCAGAGAATTTTTAGACTTGACACCAGAAGCACCATCCATATAAGGAAATCTTGATAAATTAGAAAAATTAGATTTCCTCAAAATTTAAAACTTTGCTCTGTAAATACCCATATGAAGAATGAGATATCCCATATATTGGGATAATACCTATCAGAACAGCCAAAATAAAAACTAGGACAATACCAAACACTGACAAAGATACAGATAAGACATTGCTGGTGAGAATGTAAAATGGTACGGCCACTCTGGAAAAACAGTTTGGCAGTTTCTTAAAAGATACACCTACGACTATCATGCAACTCACCAACTGCTCTCTGGGGCATTTGTCCAGAGAAATGAAAACTTAAGTTCACACGAAAACCTGTATGTGTATGTTTGTAGCAATTTTATTCATAATAACCAAAAACTGGAAACAGCCCAGATGTCCTTCAGTGTGTGAATGGGTAAACAAACTGTGGTCCATCCACACCATGAAACACTTCTCAGCAATAGAAGGGAATGAACTATTGCACAAAGCGTTATATTGAGTGGAAAAAAAAAATCCCCCCAAATTACATACTGTATGATTTTATTTATACAACGTTTTTGGGACGACGAAATGATAGAAATGGAGAACAGATTAGTGGTTGCCAGGGGTTAAGGAGGGAACAGACGGGAGAAAAATGGGTCTTGCTATCAGGGACCCTTGGAGTGATGGGAATGTTCTGTATCTCGGCTATATCAATGTCAATATCCCGGTTGCAATGTTATACTACAGTTTTGCAAGATGATACCATTGGGAGAAATCGGATAAAAGGGTACCAACCGGTACAAGGAATCTCTCGGCATTGCTTATTAGAAATATATGTTAATCTACAATTATCTCAAAATACGTTTGTTTTACGTTCCAATGATTCAATCATGTTCATGTGTATCTTAGTTTAGGCTGCTATAACAAAATACCATAGACTGGGTGACTCAGACGACAAACATTTATATCTCACAGTTCTAGAGACTAGGAAGTCCAAAATCAAGGCACTGGCAGGTGCAGTGTCTGGTAAGCACTCTATTTCTGGTTTGGAGACGTCTTCTCTTGGTATCCTCACGTGGAAGAGAACAGAGAGCAGGCAAGCAAGCTCTCAAGGATATCTTCTTATAAGGACACTAATCCCATTCATGAGGGCTCCACGCTCATTACCTAATCACCTCCCAAAGGCCCTACCTCCTGATACCATCACACTACGGGTTAGGATTTCAACATATGAATTTTAGGGGACACGAACATTCAGACCATAACAATATACATCCGTTTCTTAGACTCCAGTGATCAACCTTGTCACCAATCTGATTGATATGATGCCCAAACTGCTCAGAAAGCAAAAGGGAAGCTAGAATCATTATTTTAATCTTCTATGAAGCAAAAGGCTGCAGATATTTGAACTTAGTAAATGTTTGAACTTAGCAAAAATGTGTCTCTGCTGACAAATTTCTTTAGCCAACAGACATATTCAGCCTGCTCTTAGGTACAAGAAATATAATGATGAACATCCAAAGGTCTTCTCGTCAAGAAATCAGAGGGCTGAGTGGTACCTGAACCATAGAAATACGTGCCCAGAACCAGAAACACGCAAAAGAGGGACCCATCCCGGTTGGGGAGGCTGGGAGGGGCTTCCCAGAGGACTGGACCTCTGTGTTGAGTTGTAGTTAAAATAACACAGACAGTGCAAAAATACAGCGAGAGAATAAAAATAGAGAGAGAAAAAAAGTCATCAGCCATCCATCACTTTGAGTTAACTACTGCTGTACTTTATTATGTATATGTATAATTTTTAAATTAAGATCCTACTGTTTTATATCTTTCTTTTTATTTAAATTTCATTTTCTCATTATGCTCTCTTCAAAAAGTGGTTTTAATTTTGAAAACTATGGTAAAAGTTTGTGGTATTAACACATCATCATGAGAGACTTAATATCTTATCATTGGCTACTCAAAGTGTTCCGAACGTCCCTATAATAAATGATTCTATGATGAGTATTCACAACCTTAAACCTTAATGAGTCTCTCACACTGTGTTCTCAAGATTAAAGTTCCTAGAAGTGGAATTACTGAGTCAGCAAGAATGCACTCGGGACCTAGAGAAGCAGCTGATTAAGTGCTTAAGCTGAAAAAGCAAGCAGTAAGCCTACTGGGGTGGCTGGCTTCCGCGGCGAGCTTGGAGAAGCAGGTAAGGCTATATGGTCAAGGAGAGGGAAGGAGGGGGAATGGGATGGAATCAGACATCTCTGGTTCCCCTGGGAGGCTCGGGGATGTCCCTGCCCCTGGAGCGCCTCCCTTGGTCTCAGGTTCAGCCAGCATATTCACTTAAGCTAGTTAAACTAAGTAGAAAACACAATAGGACAAGGTTGCAGGTGAAGAGAGCACTTGCACTAATATTTAGGGAACAGGGCAGGTGGCTGGGAACGAGAAAGAGAGTCCTACAAAGAGAGCAGGAGCCAGGAGCCAGTCACAGGAGCCGAGGAGGACCCAGTGAGATTTCTAGAAGCCAAGAGAGCAGAATGCTGTAAGAAAGATCCTCTAACAGCATCACGTGCTACTAGAAAACCCCCACTGGGATTTCCCACTAGGAAGCTACTGGAAAAGTCCTGGAGGAAAGCCCGTTCAGTGTGATGGGAGGGACAAAGCCAGGTTAGAGGGGTCGAGGAGCTCCATGGGGTATGAGGAGACTAGATAGAAATAGAGAAAACTCTCTCCTGTAACTGAGATCAAAACTGCCTTTCTAAATAGATGCCTGTGTCTCGGATGTGTGGGCCTTGCACATTAATACGGTAGAGAACTCTGCAAGTGGTCAGTTAGGAGACAGGCTTGGGCCTCCATTTAAACAACATGAAATTCCAAGGGACAGAGCAGAGGTCACAGACTGGGACTCAGGACAGGATACAGGACAGGACAGAACATGGAGAACATAAGGCCAGTCCTGGATTTACACACTGTTGAGCAAACTATTCTGGGAACAGGACTGCAGAGCCGTTTCTGGCACCAGAGGCTGGGAAACAATGTGGTCACAGTGCCAGGCAGACAGAACGGGGGCTGGTGGGCGCAGCATCTGCCTCAAAAGGATTGCAGAGATTCGGGCCCCGGGACCAAAAGGCAACAGCAATTTGGCTTCAGTCTTGGGATGGAGAGAAGAACCATCTTCCTAAAGTTTCTGCACTGCTGGAGCGAAGCGACCTAACCCACAAGCTCCCCTCTTCATCAGAACTCCTTCTTTGGTTTCAGAACTGCAGGAACCAAAGGGGGACCAAGGTCACAGCGAGACTCTCCCACGAGTGTCCCCAGAAGCATGCTGCAGACATCTGTGGCCCACTCTCAGGCAGGAGGCAAGGGGCACCGGGAGGCCCACATGATGGTTTCAGATCACAGCCTCCTCAACGTGCACAGAGGGGGCTCGCCACAGGGAGCCACAGCTGCAGTCATAAAACATCTGGCCTGTCTGGAAGGTTCAGCTACGCTGCCAAGCACACAGGCCCTCCAGGCTGTGGACACCGGCCAGCAGGCACCAGCCGCCCGCACGTGGGTCCCCACAGGCCTAGGATGGATCATGCCTGCTCTATTGTATTCTTGAAGCCACAAGAACATTAAAAAGTGTCACCTTGTAGGAGGAGGAAAAACTCAAGAAGAACACCTGAGTTTCCCTGGATTGGGCAGCAGCCACTACGCCAAGGTGCTGACTTTTTCCTCTGTTCCAATCATTCCTTTGCTGCACAAAGGCAATCTCCCTGCTGTATCTACTCAGAATGCTAAAACCACCTCCCCTTTCTCCGAAAACAAAGGTTAAACACTGAGCCATTTGAGCCGTGCTCACAAACTCCCAACACTCCAGGGATACATTTTGCCAGCAGGCTAGAGCCAAGCTCTGCCCCGGTGACACAGGCAGCCACAGTGCAGCTCCAGACATCGTTCTCAGGCTGGAATACTGGCCCAACGTTGCCCTATCTTCTGTCTTTTCCTTTACCTTTTATATAAACACCTCTCTAATTATAAACGTGGGCCAGAGGTTTTCAAACTCAGACCCAGCCAAACAATGCTTGTCCGGAGGCTGAATCCAAACCTTCACGTTCAAATTGAACAAAACATCTGCACTTAACCAAACCTGGGCTTAGCTTTTAAAATACCACAGAACACCGAACACTCAAATTAATTCTAAAAATCTTGTTATATTCTCCAAATTCACTTGCAGTTTCGTCTTCTGCCATTGGGCTTCCAAAGACATTGCTTCGTTGGACTCAATTGCAAGCCGCCATGCAGAAAGTTATCTCCCTGCTGCCCCCAGCCCGGGGCCTCCCTGAAGCAGATGGTGGTGCCGGCAGGGTGGAGCGATGTGCACGTGGCAGGGAGGCCAAGACGGGGTGCACAACGTCTGCATGCCAGCTCCCACCCTCCCAGAAAGCCAGGCCACGCCAGGCAGAGCGGTCCCCGCGAAAGGCAGCCTGCACACCTCTTGCCGGCAACCCTGAGGCCGGCTGGAGTATTCAGAGCTGCTTTGAAACCCAGTGACCCCAGCATTCCTCAGTACAGGGAAGGAACCCAACCCCCCCCACACCCCGGACCACTAAATCCAGAAGGTCGATGTCCATCGTCTACATTTCCAGGGCAACGACAAATACCGAGATCACAGTTACGTTGAGAAAACCTCGTGCTTCTCCTAATTTTTTTATCCAGCCGGTGATAACATCTTGCTCAGGGAGAAATACCTGAGCAATAGCCTTAAAGGATTTTAACTCACTCCAGCGTCTCACCAAGAGGACTGACAGTGCTTTTTTTTTGTGCTGCAGGCAAACAGCCAGGCCGAGCTAAGCCCCAGGAGGATGGATATCCGTCCTCAAGCCCTGCGGCAGCTCTCCCATCCACGAACAAAAGGGCAAAGGCCTGGGATCAGGCGCTGGGGAATTTCAACTGTACCCCTGACCTCGCCAACGCTGCGGCTGGGTTAAAAAAGCAAAACCCACTCTGTTATAAAGCAGAAACTAACACACCATTGTAAAGCAATTATACCCCAATAAAGATGTTAAAAAAAAAAAAAAAAAAGAGAGATCAGGGAACTGAGGTTTAGAGATTTTGTCTGTTCAAGATCATACTGCTGGTAAGCATAGTGCAAGATTCAATCCCCAGTAGCCTAATGCAATCTTGTCACCCAAGTTTGAACAGGGGTGTGTGAGCCTGAGAACAAAGTTAATCTACTTAATACTTTGTCCAAGCTTAGCCCTGGCTCCAAACCCAAGGGGAAAAGGCAAGATTAGCAGCCACAAAGTCCAATGGTTAGCCAGTCACCTGTACTTTAGGGGTATCTTTCCTTTCACAGCCCAGCTCTGGATACAGGCAAATAAAAGATAGCAGTGGGTCTCTGTGCAGGGAGCTAATGTGAAAAAATCAAGAACAAAAGAGAAACAAAAGATGACCTAGTACGTAGGACTAGGGAACAGAGATAACTCTCAGATAACTCTTTGGACTGAGGAATAAATGTCTTTCTTTTAACAGACTCACAGACATAGAGAGCAGACTTGTGGTTGCCAAGGAGGGGCCAGGGAGAGAAAGGGAAGGAATGGGAGTTTGGGGTTAGCAGATGTAAACTATTATATATAGAATGGATAAACAACAAGGTTCTACTGTATAGCATAGGGAACTATATTCAATACCCTGTGATAAACCATAATGGAAAAGAATATGAAAAAGAATGTACATATATGTATAACTGAATCACTTTGCTGTACAGCAGCAGTTGACACAATATTGTAAATCCACTATACTTCAATAAAATAAAATTTTATAAACGTCTTTCTTTTGAGCAAAGTTTGTAATTCTGACAGTGAGTCTGGGGTCCCTAACAGTGACAGGGGCTGATGGCTGTGAAGGGCACTAAGAAGGGACCCAATTCTCTGTGTTGAGAAGACAGTGCATGTTGGCCTACAGATTTTGTGTAGAGTTAGATCGAGAATAACCCTGATATTCTGTAGCTACACATGAATTTTAAAATATCATTAATTATACAAAGTGTTTTAGAGATGCTGATTGTGCCGCAAGGCGTGTGTGGACTTTTAAATGCTACAATCCTGCCAAATATATAAAGTCTTGGGTTTTGTACCATAGCATTTTCAAACAGTTCTTGGATCACTTGCACCAGAAACACCTCAAGCCCTGATGAAGTGCCAATTCTTTTATCTCTTCCTAAATATAATAATCAGATTCTTGGCAGGGCGGGGGCAGGGTGGGGGGGCAGCCCAGAGTCTGGGTTACTAACAACCCCCACATGATATCCTTACGCATCTGATGATAAACAGGGCTCCTGCTGTCACATCTGCCAGTGGCCTACCTTAGGGAGCCCCCAGGACATCTCCAGACTCCCACCTCTTCCCAGCGCCTGGCTCATAGGACAGCCTCAGAAACATGGACACAGCAATTGCTTTTTCTACTGCAGAGACTAAGGGAGGGAATTGGGGATTATTTTACTTGGAGGTCATCAAGTAAAGAAAAAGCCATCTACAAAATGTGCAGAAGAAAAGGCAGGGAACACAAAGGATCACTGTTAAAGTGCAACCCGAGAAATGCAATATTTATGACTTCAAAACGAAACAATCCTAATGGCCTACCTGAGCGACACCTTATGGTTTGCAAACCATGTTCATAATTATGGTTACATTTTTCTAAGAGAGAAAGTTCCTCAGTCCACTGCTTTTAACTAGCTACTGGAAGACATAGGTTTGAATCCAAGGGCTCTCCCCCAAGGGCAAGTTTCTACACCTGTTGAATTAACAAAAGGTGATGGTGAAGGCCCAAGGCACATGTCTCCTTAGATCCTTTTGGCTAGGTCCACACATCATCAAAAAATGCAATGCCTTCACAAGATGTAATCCTTCACAGTTTCTTGATCACATCTTAACATTAATCTGTTTTGTTTTGTTTTTTACGGATCAAAGGTTCTCCCTGAGAACTCACAAAATACATTCTTTCATTGCTTATGGTCATAATCCTCAACCACTTTACAATAACAATTTCTGTGAGTTTTCCATACACCAAGGCCATATACTTTCTCAGCCTCGGCACTCTTGACTTTTAGGGCCAGATAATTCTTTGTTGTCAGGGCTGACCTGTGCATTGGAGGATGTGTAGCAGCTTCCTTGGCCTCTACCCAATAGATGCCAGTAGCACCAAAATGCTAGTCGTGGCAACCAAAAATGTATCCAGACATTGGCAAATGTTCCCTAGAGGGATAAAAATCACCTCCTGTTGAGAATCACTGCTCTAAGGCTCCAGTCTGAGTGTACTTCAGAATCACTCATAGGTCTTGTTAAAACCCAGATTGCTGAGTACCACCCCCGAGATTCTGATTCCATAAGCAAGGGTAGCACTCAACACAGCGCATTTGTAACAGCCTTCCAAGTGGTGCTAATGCTGATGTGACGCTGATGCTGGTGGTCTGGAACCAGTTTTGGAAAACACCTCCCTAAGGTCATGGCTGCATGCTGGCAACCCATGAAGAGCTTTTAACAAGTTACAACTTAATCAGAATCTCTAGAGATGTGGTGCAGGCATTAGCATTTTTAAAGCTCCCCAGCGATGCTAACATGGGGTGAAAATCAATTGCTTAAGGTTTACAGATGTTTCCAGAATCCCAAACTCCTTAAGAAACCTGAGATAAAATTAGTCACAGTAGATGTCATTTGCATTTTTATATTACTTGAAGACCCCTCCCTCATATCACCTCGGAGCAGAAATTCTGGCACAAAACAAAAAACCCCAAAGTATGCAGACTGGAGCTTTCATGTCTGCTTCTTCAAAATCTGTGGGCTGATACCACCAGGGATTTCCAACCTACTCTTGAGTAAGTTTAGGGCAAGAAAACCATTTGATATTAGGGCAAAACTAAGAAGTCTATTCCTTTCCTATTATCTAAAAGTGAGGCTGCATCTTATAATAAAGAAATAAGCAATCTTTACCTTCAAAAAATGCCCAGGTCTCCTTCTTTTTCTCAAACGATGAATCTTCAGACGCTTTGAGGGAAATCACTGTAAGACAAAAAAGAAATGGCATAGCATGAAGTGGAGTAGCTTATGGACCTAGCCCACCTCAGTCCAAAATAATATCATATGGTATATATGGCACTTACATTTATAAAGTAATTTTCATATTTGCAAAAACCACATTTAATTGTCACAACCCACAAGCCAGGGGAAGGTGCAATGACTTACATATAACAAGTAAGAGACCAGAGAAGGGAATTAAGTTGCTGGTACTCAGTCCAGTAGAAGCCTCACTCACCCCATATACTTGCAAAATAAAGAGTTCCCCAGTGGGAATTCCAAGAACCAAAACATTATTTATTTTACCATCTTAGTGGACATCTTTCCAAAATGTAGTGTACCTGCCTGGGTATCCCTAGATAGAGAAGCCTGAGGTCATCTGATGACTCAGGGTCAGTGCTCTGAGCACATTCTCCATGTAAGACAGTCACAGAGCGGCAAGCGTCTGATTTTGAGATTATTTTGTCTGCTTTCAGTCAGTGGTTGAGCACTGAATTCACTGTGCCTGCTTTCAGTTGTCAGGGAAACAGAATTGAGCTACACTATGTTAAACCTTGAACATCATATACTAAAGAGTCTGGAAACATGGGAAGGTTCCACATACAGGGGTAACATAATCATAGGCAAATATAAAAAAAAATTAACCTGACAGAAAAAATGTAAAATGTCAGGGAATGAGAGTATTGCCCAATAGAACTTTCTGAGATGACGGAAATGTTCTGTGTCTGCAAGGCACATACAGCTGCCACTGGCCACATGTTTTTATTGAGCGTGTGAAACGTGGCTTATCCACATGGGACTAAGAAACCGAATTTGTAACTGTATTTCATTTTAATTAATTTAAATTTAAATAGCTACATTTGGTCAGTGGCTACCACACTGAAGAGCTCCAGAGAAGAGAATCTCTAAGACCCAAATAACAAGACAAAGGTGGCTAGAATAAAAATTGAATCAATATGAGAGGTAAGGAATATGGCAAAGATGGTCTGGAACTTTATTTACTGCCCCTCCCACAAACTTTTATATTATTATTGTCATGGATTCCAATTCTGAATTTTCCATCTTTATTTTTCTCCAGGCCTTGCACTGGATATTTCCATTGATCTACCACACAGATCGCTAATCTCCTCACCTGTGTCTAACCTGCTGTTAAAGCCATCTCTTAAATTTAAGATTTCATTTATGGATTTTTTCAGTTATAGATCATCCACTTAATTCTTTTTATATATCCTAGCTCTCTGATGAATTTACCCAGCATGTTATCTAATTTTTCAACCATATTTATCACATTATTTTAATGTACATGACTGATATCTTTCACATCTGCATTGCCCATAGGCTTATTTTTATTACCCATTTTTGATTTTGATCTTGTCCCTTGATGTGCCTGATAATTTTTTAATTGAATGCCAGACGTCATATATGGAAAATCATGTAGATTCGAGATAAAATTTTATTTTCCTTGTAGGAAATTAGAGTACGGGGATGATCACCTAATCCAATGAGGATATGAACTGTTTAGAAGCTGGGTTTCAGTTTTTATAGGGTATGGTTTCTCTCTGGTTTGCCCTAACTTCAGGGATCCCCAGTAGAAAGCCTCAAGTATTTATTATAGCGCTTCCAATTTTCATCACACCGATAGAACTCTGCTCTATCAGAGGCTCTGCTTGCCTCCTAAACAACCTGATTGTCACTTTCTGCATAACTTTTCTCAACAAGCACTGCGAAAGAACAGCTGAATTTCTTAAAGAGTTAAGCGACTCTGACAATTGGTCTCATTCACTGTTCTTCTCTGCACTCTATCTATATAGTCCTTCAGAGAACAATTAAGATAGCTGAAATACATATGCACATAGACAACTGTGTAATTATGTAATACAAATATACTTATGAAATATAAATATATAATTAGGAAAGCTGAAATACAGATTTTTTTTTTTTTGCAGCATTTCTAATTGTTCTCAGGAGGAGGGCTCTGTTCTGTGGGAAAGAACCCCTCTCCCAGTAGAACCTAAATTCCTCAAAACCAGAAGCTGGCCTTCTACCTCAGTATCACCATCTTGGGACACACTGCCTGGCAGCTGGTAGGTGCCCAGTAAATAAATGAATGATCTATTTCTTCCTGACGGCCCCTCAAAGGAAGAAATCTGGACATCCAGGAATGAACTCTTAGTGGACATCTGGTCTTGCGTGTGATATTAGACATGTCAGACAATTCATCCATCACCTTTCCTGCTTAATTTGCCCCACCCACAGCTCCTGTAATCTGCTCACTGCCAGAGCAACCGATCAGATTCCCCCTTCAAGAATTTAGACTAAGAAACAGAGTACATATGGTGGTTGTAGGCCCTGGGGTTGAAAAAGCCTGTGGACTCTGGGGTGGGCAGCCGTGTTTGGAAAACAGGAAAGCAAACGGAGCTGAGGGCAGAACCTGCAGGAGGAAGGTGGAGGTGGGAGGACTTGACCTTGATGGCACTCTGGGTACCAAGAGGGCTGACGTGTTATTTGCTGACCTTGCATTGCATGAGCTCCATATCCTTCAACCATCCCCACCTCTCTTCTGAATTAGCTTGAATGGGTTTTCATCTTCAACCAATTAAGCCTAGGCTGCGATAACCGCAGAGTCCTAATGAAGACAATACCGAAATGAGAAAGAAGTGGACCTCTGAGGACCGCAGTTTTCAGGAGATCAGGGATGCCCAGCATGGTCCAGAGCCTTACTACTCCAAGTGTGGTCCACGGACCAGCAGCATCAGTGTCACCTGGGAGCTTGTCAGAAGTGCAGGATTTCAGGGGACCCAACCCAGATCTACTGGATCAGAGTCTGCTTTTAAACCCAGGTTCCCTGGATGAATTATATGCACTTTAAAGTGTGAGATGCACTGATGTACACCGGGTTGAGTTGCCGTTTGCTGGTTATGTAACCTTGGGCAAGTCACTTAACTTCCCACTGCCCCATTTGTTATGCAGAGATGATAATAAGCTCAGGGTGAGTGTGAGAAGCAGACGGGTTAATATATGTGAATTACTCAGAACACTGCCTGAGACCTAGTGAACCATTTTTATCCACAAAGACCTTAGCTCCGTAAGACAGGGATTTGGTCTATTTTATTCACTGCTCTAATTCCCACACCTAAATTCTAGCATGGTCCTCTGCTATCAGTCCTTTGCCTCAGAATGTGAATCTTCAGTTGTCCAAATGGTCCATAAGAAAGAGTTTCCTGACCTTGTGGCTAAACGTCTGCAACTCAGTCGGGCTGCTACCATTCCAGCAAAGGCCACTGCCTTTGGACCACTTTTGATTCATCTTACATTTTTTAATTTCAGAAGCTGTGGGCCCTTGATTTTAGTCCAATTCCCTTTGCCTTATGTGGGATAGAAGGTAACAAGGTCTCCCCAGTGGAGTTATGGAGACGGGTTTTGAAAGAGCCAACAAGCTGGGATTCAAAGCTAAGGGGGCTCTAAGCAAGGAATTCATGGAGGTTCCTCATTTCTCTCCCGTGCAGCTGTTTTATGGGAAAGTGAAGCAACTCTGTTTGGCATACTATGATCAGCAACACCAGCCATAATCTTATCTGTTCCTACAAGAAAAATTTTTACATGAACTCTGCCAGAGCTTTTGAAATTTCCCCAAGGTTCCACGTAGCTATCTTGTTTCAGCTGCTGATCCCGTGCTGTCTCAAAATGAATGCGATACATTGTCAAGCCACACGTCTGCGTCCACAGACCATGGCCAATGCCCTGCTCAAGGTGGCCTCTGTCTTGCCGCATGCTCTGAGCCCAGCCTCTCAGCCAAGAGCTAATGTGGGGGTGGGCAGTGGGCACCCCCTTGGGAAGGTCCATTACTCCAGCTGCTGGGAGTGATGCCAGCCCTGCTTCCCGGGGAGCCTCGCCTCTTCCATCCTTCCTGCATCCAGAGGTCCCGTGAGGGAGGGCGGTACCGGGACCACCTCCTCCCACAGGGTGTGGGGCCTGGGAGGAGGGAAGTGCAAGTGATCAGAGAAGCAGAAGGAAGCCCAGTCTGGCCTCAGCACCAAGCCACTCTTCTCCATATACAGCTTTATCAGGAAGTGGGCATTTTGATTTCTGACTCCTGTGCACATTCATCCGTCGGTCTGGGCCACAGTGTAAAAGGAGAGTAACGAGCGCTCAAAAGCTAAGTCATCAACTGACCTATTGACTGCTTTGTAATTTCCTGGGGACCCCGGCGCCCAGTGCGCAGAGCCTGGCTGACCTTCTTGTGAGGTGGTGGCCCGGATAACTGAGCAGCAGGCTGTCCTGGGTCCCCCCCTGAGAGAGCAGAATCCGATGAAATCTAAGAAGGGGTGGGGTGTGAGAGCCACCACGTCTCGGGCCTCTGGGAAGAACCGGTTGAAAGTGCTGCAGGATCAAACGGGTCTCTGGAAGAACACGGCCCAGAGGCACCGAGACAAAACGATCCTATCAGCCTCATGTCTGGAGGAAGCAGGTTGGAAAGAAAGAATCTTAGTCAAGTTCCCTTTGCTGGGACCTGAGGGGAAACCATCACTCAGAGAGGTGTGAAAACGGAGACCCTTGATTTCTGACTTGGACAGACCGTCCCACCGACTCCCCTGGGGAGGGCATGTTTCACAGGCTGTGGCAGACCATGTGCCCTGAGTTCACGCCAAGACCCTGTGACAATGCCCTCCGGCTGAGGGACCTCCTATTTCCTTCCTGGTCTCCTGTTCACCCATGATACAGAGCATTTACCTGAGCCTGCGCTGAAGGACTGACCCCCGTCACCCAGTGAACAGATGGCTCATGATTTTTAGAGGCCCTGGGAGGGCTCCCCTTCTCCCAGTATTCTTTCCTGCCTGCTCACCTATGCCTCCAGTTCCTTTAACAAAGAATCCTATAACTAAAGGAGCTTAAATTGCAACCATGGGTTACACCCAAAGTAGGGTGCACCTTCCTGACACAGAACACCTTCCGGAAGGCAGAGGTTGATAGAGAGGAGTGCAGGG